GGTAAAGTGACACACAGACGTAGATGCTAGTGAGGACTGGCCATCATCACAGCAGAACATTGTTACACAATCACAGAACACCAATAGTAACAAACAGTGACAACAGTACTTCTAAGAAGAGCTGCTGCCTGGAGAAACGTTTATTTCATGTTGTTGTCTCTGGCTGCTGCTGCAGTTGCCCGACTTTGGTTTGTTGCCTAATTGCTCAGCAGTGAGATGCATTCCAAGAGGCAGGTGCTGACAGTAGCACACAGGGCAGCCTGTGTGTGTGTGTGTGTGTGAGGGCTGAGAGGAAGTAGCTGCTCACAGTTATGAAAGTAACGACCTCTTGAACTGTTTACACGAACACATGTTTTCTAGAAGGCACTGTTCACACATTGGCTGCATCTGAAATAAAAAAATAAAAGCTGGTGGACTTCGGACATTGATAGCTCGCTGGTGAGGGCTGGGCTCCAAAACATTCCTTTCCAGAACTAAATATTCCAAAACAACTGATATAAATAGACCCCTCTGTCATCATAACCTTGTCACACTCATGTAACCGGAGAATCTGCAGGCTGGACGGAAGGATGACATGACTGCATCATCCTGAGTCTTAGAAACTGACAGCACAATGCACACAAAAACACTTGACACTGCCAAGAAGAGTCCATGTGAGACAAATCAGCACTGGGTCTGGTTAGTCAGTGAGTTATTGCGTCACACTCGAGCTCCGGGATTTCATTATACAATATGGGGGATGGGATATGTCCAAACTGGAGAGGGTGGAGAAGAGTGTGTGTGTGTGTGTACCATGGGGAGGGGGGAGGTTTTGCATTTGTGGTGAGCCAGTGTGCTTTTGTCACGCAAGCGAGAAGTGTAATTTGGGGTATTCTGGGTAAACTGGTGTCATTTGGGAGTTAAGTCTGTGCTTTGACATAACAACCCACACGGGATGGCGGCAGCAAGAAAACAGTTACTGTGTGCAGAGGACAAAAGGTCAAGACTTCAGTGTGGTTCCATCTCGGGTCACAGATGTGCTGATATGGCTATGTACAGTACACACACAAAACAGCGTGCAGAGAAAGAAAGATTACGTCCCGTCTGCGAGAACGTAATGAGTCGTAGCAATAAGGCACTTTCATGTGAAGCGCAGAAACAGCGAACAACAGACATTTTTATGGAATTATTTCATCCGTATTCAAAACTTTGTAAGGTGCAGAGTGGAATTATGGTCCTCAAGAAAACTTGTTATGCAAGAGAGACACATGAACTGAAGATCATGCGAGTGTATTTGCTCATGTGCTGAACAAACATGTTACACACCGAGTTGCACCAACAAGGATTCATTTTGAAATTCGAATAAATCATGGTTTGAGAATTGAGAAAGATTCCATTCAAAACTCTCTTTTAACGTGTTTATTTTACCCTAAACTTAGATTCAATTTGATTCTGTCGCACCAAAACTCCAATTTGATCCAGTATTGATGTTAAAGTTTTGTTAAACTCTGATTAATTTAATCTAATACCAGTTCTAATCATTGTAGGTGCCACCCTGCCTGAGTACATGTTCCATCCATATGACTGTGTGTGTGTGCCTCGCTGAGCAGTGACAGTGTTTTCTTCTGAGCTTCTGTCCCAGCCCGCTAAATGTCTGGAAAGCAAAGCTGTGTAAAGGAATGTGGACAGAGTCCAGGGGGGTTCTAACATACTGCAGGGGCTTTCTAGGAAAACCCACGGAGCTCAAAAACCCCTCTGAAACCATCCAAGAACATGTAATTCCCCTTTTCTTCTCAGCCCTCCTTATGTCAGTCTTGCCTCAATACCTTATGTAATTAGGGCACGCACGCACGCACGCACGCACACACACACACACACACACACACACACACACACACACACACACACGGCTGGGGGCCCCTCTCCAGGCCAGAACACAATGTTCATTGGGAGCAACATTAGCTTTTGTGAAGATTGACACACAGACTAAAACATTTCATAACCAAACTCCAGTGGTGCACGCTCACACGCTGCCACCTCGGCTATGTGTACAAAGCAAGGGGAATGTCAGATAACACATTCAGAGGGAGACATTACCCCACTGTGCCTTTATAGAGCAAAGAGTTGTTTGTTGCTTTATTAATGATCTGAAAGTTAAATACAGCTTTATTATAAGTATTTATTAGGGCTGTACACAAATCAGAATTGTTTTAATTTGAATCAGATTTGGCTGTTCAAAACGAAGATCGACTCGTTCCTTATTTTGATATCGACTATCAGAACACCCATCACCCTTCATACCTGTGCTCTTTTAAACCGTTTAATCATAAAAACATTGGTTGTACAAAGTTCTTCATAGATAGCCACTTAAAATGACTTAACTTGAACTATTTCAAATTGACTGAGGGGTCACCTAAGGATGATAAAACGCTATCCTTGCAGTATTTGGCAGTTGGGGGATTTCAAAGTCTGGCCACCTTAAATTAAATCTTTGTTAATGATTTTTCAATCTAAAAGCAAAACAAACAGACCTCCTGTTATCTCTGTTGTCCCTCCACAAAGATCCAAACTGCAAAGCTGTGCTGTGCAGCATGGGTGAGAGAGAGGAAAGAGAGCCAGCCATAGAGCCCTGAGAAAAAACACCTTATAATTAGCCCGTCTAGTCCCACACTGCTGCAGCTTGCTTAACGTTAACATCTCCATGAAGGAGGACGGGGAGCAGCTCAGTGTGTGTTTAAGACCGTCATTAAAAGCAGCGAACGAGCAGAGTTCCTCCAAACTACAGGCAGGATGAGGACCTGCAGTCTGTCCCACATGCAGCCCTGCAGCCTCATGTGTGCAGGTACTCTGTGAGACAGGCAGGGAGCAGCTACTTCTGTAGCAGCTGCTGATTCTCCTGAAAGCAGCCGCAGGTTTGCAGCATTCATAAAAGCTGGCAGACTTTTAAACAAAAAAACTTTATAATGTTAAGTTTTAAACATTTTAAAACTTCAACAGTTAATGGTCATTTCCATTAATGCCATTTGCCTCATCAGTGTGCCTCATATTTTACAGTACGCCCAGAGGCCTTCTACACATTAGGGGCTTGAAGAATACACGAAAATGCAAAATACTCTGCTTTGAATATTTTGTATTAAAACTATTCACACCAGCAGTGGATTAGAGCAGCAGATATTAAGACGATCACCACTCACAAACTCTGACTACTCAGCCAGACCGGCCAAACCAAATGCCACCAAAGGCCGTGTGACCACCCGAGGAAGAGGGGGAGGAGAGCTGTGATAAGAGCTAAGCTAACACAGCTAGGACCCAAGGTTATTTAACCAGCCTGCTCCTGGCTAAAGTCCAGTCGCTGGAAAGTAAAATGGAAGACTCCGTGAGAAGAGGGGAGGCGGGCTCTGTGGTTACATCAAGGGTGCTTGGTGTTCAAAGGTAGTCAAAGTTGTAAGACAATAGGCCGTTCTCATTTTCCAGTTTGTGCAGCCTTGATTTCTTTCTTCACCTCCTCTCCTCTCATATTCGTCTCACCCTTGTGAGATGCGAGCGAAGGAGGCAAGAAGGAGAGGCTGGTTCTCCAGCACATCAAAGACAACCTCCCAGCCAGCCTGGACCCACAACCAGTTTGTATACAGAGCCAACAGATCCACAGAGGATGGCATCTCCACTGACTCCACTCAGCCCTCACACATCTTGAAAACAACAACAACTACATAAGAATGAGGTTTATTGATTTCACTCTCCCCCATGAAACTGATTGGTTAACTTATCCCTCTGGGCTCCAGTTCATCACTCTGCAACTGGTTATTAGACTTCCTCACAAACACACCCCAGGCAGATCCAACACCAAACACATTTCATGGGAACTCATCTTCTAGCTTTTAGGATATTTCATTACCAACAGACTAACAGACATTGTGACACTGCTAGTGTGGCTAACATTGTTCTGTGTAAATCTGTCTATTCTGAACCAGATCTTAGTCAGGGTTAGGGCTGGGGTTTGATTATCAAAAGACTAGAAAATAAGAAAAATCAGGCCTTAGTTTGCAGAATTATGCTCGAGCATTACTTTTATATTTGAAAGAGAAGATACTATGCAGTGCATACTGCCCACACAGTATTTAGGTTTAGCTATTACACAGGATTCATTTAGTCTGACCTCTACATTGACCCAATCTCCAGCCCCATTTGGACCTAGTCTTAAAACGGCACACATTTGAACTCCATATGGTTAGCTTCGGCTATAACTGTGTCATAGTACCTGTAGCCCTGAACCATAGGGGAACCACAGCATCAGAAGCATCACGCTTAACAAAAGGTCAAACAGATGGTCACTCTTTATGAGGCTCCTATTGACTCAAAGACTTGCCCTTTGGCCTGTAGTTTACACCACAGAGAGGTCAGAAGGCTGGGTTCATGGGTCATTATCATCACCATACCCTGAGTATTACAGCTGCTTTTCAGCTGTCAGGCGCTCTACTGTTTTCAACGTAAGTGCTTTCTTAATATATATACCTCCTCAACGCAGATCCTCACTGTCTGCATCAACCGTTTAAATGAAGTCGTTTCATGCCTGTCCACATGTTGGAAATGCTTTAATGGACAGACAGTAAAATCGCTGCCTTTTCTAATCAAATACAGGCTATGCGTGACCAGACAGTAGCACAGACCAGCACGGGCTACATTTGCTGTTCTGTTGGGTAAACCAAGTCCTACAGCACAGAGGACCAATAACAACAGCAGCTGGTGAGGCTGGGAGAAGCCAGACTGGGGATTCAAGAAGTGTCGCTGAATAATATAACGTGTGGAAACAAAAAAAGTGAGGACTGTACAAAATGATCTGGGAATGGAAACGATAAAAGAGAGGGGGGGGGTATTGGTTTCCAAAGGGCTGAAACACACCAGACTCTATTGACAGTCACCAAGAGAGGAAATGCACATCGTTACACAACGCAACAGACAGACCATTGCTGCAGGGGACGGGAAAAAAGAGCCGGCTGGTAAGAAAATGAGATGGGGAAACAATGTCGGGACCTGCCCAGTACATGTTACAGGCAACAGAGGCAGAGGGGACAAAGCAGGCGTACACAGACCCAGAAAGAGGAAGTGCATGAAGAAAGGTACTCAATCCAAACAGTTGACAACCCAGGATCCAATAATAAATCTCTACAAGTTCTATTTCAAACACTACCAACAAATAACATCACTAATGCACTATAGCAGTGGAAGAAACAAGACCGGTGATGAATGCTAGAAACAGTCATCTTTGAAAAATAAAATACACAATCTAATAGTCTGCCCCCAGAGACGTGTATTCATTTTTAAAACCCTTTTTTAATCCAGCGGGATCTGAAAGTGCACGTGTCAGGAATATGTGATCCCTGACTCCGATAGATGCCGAGCTCCCAACCAGAGGACAAAAGTCATCTGAGAGATTTGTGCTCATTTAACTTGCCTCAACCCAACGAGTGGAGTGTATATGTGACCGTGTACTGACAGTACGGGCACATACTTCACACTCATACTGCACATTTCCCTCAGGCTACACAGTTTGGCCAAAAGCCTTCAAACAACTTTGTTTATGTGATGTTCCTTGTGATCGATTCTTAGAAATGCATGGAATTGCAGTTTCACACCCAGCTTTTTGCAATCCCAACTTTTGAGAAGTCTTGCCCCATGATGATGGACCGATCGACTGACCAAGTATTGCAAAGCAGTGTGGTTCATTAGTCACATGAGCACCGTGTTCTGCACCGTATAACTAAAGATTAGTATTCAGAGAGCATGGCTCATATGCAAAACTGTATAAGGCGGATATGTCTGATCATGTCCTGTAAAGTATCCACCGCGGACGGAAAGACTTCAGCTGTTCTGTAGACGCTTGCAGGTGAATACAAACAGATACTCGACTAACTTTACTCATTTTAGTGATAATAACCCAATTATTATATTATATAGACTGAAATGACTTGATCATTACATTCAGAAACATTGGTAATAAGGACAAACTGCTGGTAAGTCACTTCAATTACACAAGTAAGGCAGAAGATGTTCTCTCATTGGATGCTGTTGACAGCTCTCAGCCTCCCCTTTGCTGAGTTAACGTGGTGTTATCACATGTTGAGAGTGAGAAGAATGTCCAGAGATACTGAATGAAGGGATTGAGATACTGATGTGGTCTTCTAGCATTAGGTGATCACTACTCAACTGCTGTTCAGCTGCAATCTACCTAAAGCTGATTCTTTATTGGCTAACAGACTTATCACTCTGTTTTTAACATACAAAAAAAACACACAAAATTAAAATAGTGTTAAAAATATAATGAACCATCTTTTGCTGCACCTACAGACTGGTGGTAATCTGTGTTTACCCAATTAAAGACAATAGTTTCATAATGTTTGTCGAACTCGCGTAACTAAGCTTCTTAAAATTCTTTCTGACATCACAGATTGTGCCTTTGACTTGGTTGTCGGTTCTATCCCAGGCTCCTCTATGTCAAAGTGTGCTCGAGCGAGAGAATGAACCCTAAGCTGCTGCCCTGGACGCTTTACAACAGCCCACTGTTCCTCATGCTTAGGATGGGTTAAATGCAGAGGTAGGTACCTGTATGTATATGTATACCTGTATGTATATGACAAATGTCCTTTTTGACTTTATGGGGTGCAGCTGGGTATAAAGGGCTCAACTGTCGCCATGGTGCCTTCTGGCTTAAACCCTGTGTTGTCAGGTTTATGGTAGAAGCTTTGCTAAGGCCGACTCAGCCAGCTGAGAGGAGAGAGACAGAGGGCAGTCTTACTCAGCACTAAACTGAAGGACTAGCCTACAGCAACATCGACCGTCTTCATTTGTGGATGTAGATTCCTTTGACTAGATCCAACTTTTTCGAACACTGGAACAAACAAGGTCTCAGAGTGTTGCAAACAACACTCAATGGAGACAATTACTGAAATACTATTGAATACTTCATTCTCCATTAAGCTTGTATCAAATTGACTTACCTGGACATCATAAAGTGCCACAATGTTTTCATGCTGCAGCTCCTGAGCAGCAACAGAACAGAAAAAGAAGATGCATTAACACAAACATGAAGTTAGCTCCAGCAGCTAATGGAATCACCTTCACAGACATTTCTATCGAGGAACTTGAGGCTCCTTTTTGTCAAAGGTGCAGACTAACAGAAGGTCAATGTCAGATCATTCTTTAAATACATTGAGGAGATAAGTGAGAGCCAATTAAGCGTTAATGCTCACCTTCAGGATTTTGATTTCCTTGCCGAGGAGGATCTGGGACTTGGACAGGTTCTTCTTATTGATGCTCTTTATGGCCACCTCCCAGTCCGTCTTCTGAGGAACACAGAGAGCAGGATGAAGAGGAAAGAAAAGATTAGAACAACTTAAAGCAAAACCTTCATCCCAATCTCCCTGTAAAATGTCCCCTTAACTTAACCTATCAAGTATAAATGACTGATGATTTAACACATATTCACTTTGTACATGTTCTCCACCTATTTGTTTCAAGATATTCAGTTTGGCATTACATTTGTTTTGATTCTGAATGCCTTATGAATCAAATCCAGTGTTATTAATCTAATACAGTCTGCGGTCTTTGGTTGAGCCACCCATCCTTTTCTTCTTCAAGTGGAACACATCCTGCTCATTTTCAGGTTCATACGTGTACTTTGGCTTTCTACTAGAACATGTTTACATGCTTTAATGTTCAAAAAACACATCTTCTCATATTGTCCATCTGAATACGCCGGTATGCACCCTCTGTCTGACACGCTCCGTTTTAGCGCCTGTCTCTTTAAGCCCCCCTCGAAAAAGACCAGCTTGCTCTGATTGGCTTGTGAGAAAAACATGGTGCACCTCTGCAAAGGTAGTTCTCAAGCCGTGTGAGTCTGGTTAGTCTACAAAAGCAGTCGCAGCTGTATCAGACCGACTTAGAGTGCAGATTGTTGATTGGACCGCACCATGTTCCTCCTGCATCATGGGGAGGAGCAGTGTCTTCTAGTTTGATTCTCTTTCTGTTATTTCTTTGGCCAAATGGTGTTTTTGATATGCTCGTTTTATATATATATATATATATATATATATATATATATATATATAAATAAATAAATAAATATATAAATGTATAAAAAGCTTTTGGATTTTAATTATATAACCAAGCACTACAGAAGGACTCTTTTTTTTTTTTAAACATTGTTTGTGTGTGTATGCTAAAAGCGAAGCCTGCTGGCCTAAATAGCATTGTCAGCACCACTATGCGAGCGTTGACAAAGGAAGGATGGAGGAAATTCTAGCTGTCCCAATAACAGCTAGAATTTTGTGACAGCTCGGCCAGCCTATTGCGCAGAATGATACGCTGAATGACGGGGCACTCAGATGACACCTGGAACGAGAGCCAGGCAACCTACTTACTCTGAAAGCTAAGTGAGACTGAATGAATGTTTCCACAGGAGCTCCTGGAGCAGGTATTTAAAGGCTCTCAGGACATGTGCTGCACACGCAAACACCCAACTAAGGACACAGTGATGGACCCATGGGGGGGGGGGGGGGGGAGTTCTGTTTCTATGCCCATGAAAAAAAAAAACACATAATATGGACAAATGAAATCAACATCAACACAGCTACGGAAGACAGTCTCTGAATAAAAGGCCGTGCTATCCAAATGAATCTAGGTTAAAAGGAGATGTTCTTGTTCTAGGGTTGCACTCCGCCTAAAGCCTGCCAGAGAATCTAGCACATGAGTCTGTGTGTGTGTGTGTGTGTGTGTGTGTGTGTAACACTGCCAGCTGAGCTGCATCCATACCCAGCTCACTGTCAGCTTGTCCAGCCAAGTGTGACTGAGCTACGAACACTTCCACCGTAGAAGAAGAAAAAAAAAAAAATGTGACCCCGTTGGCCCATCATGTAATGCTGGAGGGTGAGGAGGTGTGAGGGAGGGGGGGAGAGACGTAACTAATGGCTAGGTAGTGCACCGCAGCATGGAAAGTTAAGCAGTGCAGAGTAAGCAGTTCTCCTCTGCTCAGAGTCATGCTGCAAAGACAGAAGCACCATATCATGTTCCAGAATAACGCATGATATCATGGATGAATCAGAGCCCATTGGAGAGGTGTGAGCAACGGAGCGCTTAGTGTCTGCAACACTGCAACCAGAAGTTGGCCCAACGGGTTGAGATAGAGCAGAGGACTATGACAACAAAGGAGTAGCAACATACTGAATATCTCGTTTAGGCAATTAAAGAGATTGACTCTAGCCAATATGATCCTCTGAAATGTTAAAATAGAGTGCATCTAGCTTCTGCTGACCGACATTTTTAACACAGAGAAGACTTAAAAAGCCTAAAGAGTTTAACTTTTGAGTAAGGTAATGCATCTGGTGTGGCATTAACAGAACAGGTATGAATGTCTCCCAAAGTATTCGTCCATAAATCAGTTGATATGTTTATATCTAATTAATCTTCCTGTAATCTCATTATAGTCTTCAGCCTGACATTATATCCAACATGACATACATTTTCTTCAAATTTATCCTGTGTAGTAAACTTGATTAGCATTCAGAAAGAGACTTTTATATACCATTGGGAGCTTCCATTAATATATTTGGGGATATTTACAGCTACGTAATATTTTTAAAAGCTTCTCTGGAAAGAAAGCACCAACCTTTGTCTTACCAACCTCGTACTACATTTAGTAACGCTCAATGATTAATCAATGAATCAAGAAAATACTCGGAGAATTAATCAGCAATGAAGATAATCGTTAGATGCAGCTCTTCTGTTCATCCTTTTACATCCTAGATTATTTATACTAAATACATTTCACCCACATTCATACTGAGGAAAATGAAACAGACCATGTGCTATGTTGCTAAAAACTGTAACTTGTTATATATTTGTGCAGAGAGAGGTCCAGGTGTTGCAATAATCTGGGAAACACACAGTTTTCAAAGGATGTTTATGCAATTCCGATTTTGACATAAAATGACATCTTAATAAGATGCGTTACATTTTGGGGATTTTTTGTTAATCGGTGTACTGGGAAACTTCCTAACAAATTCAAAAACACGACTGCTTCTGCGATCAGCTTATTGTCCTGCCTCATCTCTGGTGATCCTTTGAATAATTGCTTGACATTACAGTGTCACAGGAGCCCGTATGTAGCATCCAACACGGCCTAAGCATGAAGCAACCCATCACGCTTGTTGAAGTCAGGTGGCTCTATCCGTCCCGTTCCTTAGAGGTGGAAATGATCCTATAAGTAGACTAAATGGCAGATGACAGGACTTTTAACAGTAAATACACTGATCACATGCCAGGAGCTTTTTAACAAGACAGGAAGGCATGTGAGCAGTGGACAGATGTGCAGCTAGATGAGGTGATTGTTTGCAGGTCTACATTCAGCTCCGTTTTCCAGACTGTGAGGCTGAAGTTATCAATGGTCGCTCGGCCTGCTCTAATGTGGCTTTCATTGAAGAATTCAGCACCATCTGTTTCACACCAGAAGCAGTGGGTGCAACATGACGTCATCTCCTTCATTCTGTCACATATAAATAAACATCCCATTCCTGCATGGAGTGCACGGAGGGAATTCTATTTCCGAGCAATATGTTAATAATGTCATGCATCCAGTGCTTCAGTGTGAATGAACCTAGTCCAGCTCTTACATAAGGGAGGCTTGTATATTTAGAAAGGCAAAAGGAAAAACACTGCACCCCATCCTCCCTCCTGCCTCAGTACGTCAGCAAGTCATTCACTGCTGCCTGACTCATCCATTTCATGAATGAACCAGGCGGCCTCCATACACCTACACAACTAACATCAGAATGGTGAAATAACACTGAAATCAGCAGTCACAGCATGACTGATCGGACCATCAGACTGGATCAAAATGTCTGTTCAGAGAAGCTGTGACAGCCACATATGCTGCATTCTGCTGCAACTGACTGACCCAGATTTTCAGAATGACGCTGCCTACTTACCTCCTTCCACCCTGCAAGAGAAGAGGCGAAGACCACACTACACACTGTTTATTTACCTTCCTATGTCTCCCTTTGAACACCACAGCAAAGGCTCCATGTCCGACCAGGTCTTTTCTGCTGTACTCGAAGTCTCCCACTGCCTCCATTGTGGGAGGCTGCTGGTCCAGCTTGATCCCGGGCGCTGGTGGATCTCCTAAAAATGTGTTGGGCTCTTCAGAAAATACTCCTGGAGCAAATGATGCTCTCAATCCTGGTGATGCCGCTTCTTGCACTGCGGATTTACTTCATGGCGGGCTGCTCTGATGTGCCTTATTGCATAAATAAGAGATGCAGTCAGGACATAACGCATTCAGATGCCCTCTAAATAGCTCGCGAAGTGTGTAATATAACGCAGAAGAGAAGCTTTTGAGCATGGCAAACAGCAATCCGGAGCTAAACGGTATCAGCGCCAGTCAGTCTTTGACCCAGTTCGATAGCTGCAATCCAGCTTTGCATTCCTCTCCAAGGAGGCTCGCTAACACGCTGTGTGTGCCCGGTCACCGAACCTGTTCAGAGGGACAGTCTACATGATGCCAACCCCGCTGGACATGACCATGCGAAGGCTGAAAGCAGCTGCAGACACCGAGCTATCGGTTAGCCTGACAGTGACATAACACTGTGGCAGCACCTCGCGTCATAGCTGCCGTAGCTGCCCTCTGCTAACATGCTAACAATAATACGGGAATAGCGTTACGTTGTTTGGCGAAACTGAATAATTGAATCTGCTTCTACAAGTCGTAGCAACCTATAAAGCTAGCCAACACCCGCGAGCTAGTCCACAGACGATGTTAGCGTTGAAAGATCTTGAGGCTGCAGCACAGATGTCAACACAGGACTGTTTGTCTGACGGCGTTAGTCCTTGTGATCCGTCTTCTTCCACTAGACGTCTACTGGACACATCTCTCTCCTCCTGACGTTTCCCCAGTGGACATGAATGTAAATCCATGTGACATAGAAGAACACTTCGTTGTTTCCTTCGTCGTAAAGTCTTACAGAACAGTTAATGTTAGCTGTGATGGAAGTGGAAGTAGAGGTCGCCTTTACAATATCATTTACTTCCACGTAAAGCTCCTGGATATTAACGTGCTCATATGAACGGTACAGGTTTTAATCACTGTACAGCTCTGTCACATGCCGACAGAGGAGCTCTGTCGTCCTGACGGTCATTTAAACAACACTGGAAGCTAGTGCCATGCTCTTGCTTTATAGCCTATCCTTGCGCGGAGGCCAGCCATAGACATTTCCTTCCGCTGCAAGGGTTAGTCCGTTCAAGGAGGGTTCATCAGGTTCTTAGGACGCTTTGAAAAAAACGAGGGTTTCGCCATATGAACTAAACTATTTATCTATTTTAATCTATATATTCTAAAACAACACTATTTTCAAATATATGCATTTTTGGACGGTCAAAGGTAGTTGAAGGATGTGTGCAAAGTGTCTTCTTTGGATCCCCATGAGAGGTTTAACGGCTATAGTTCAAATCATTAGAAAAGATTGGAATTCATTTGGTCTTTGGTAACACATTAAAGCACTCCATAACATCTTAGATGTATAATGTATTTATAAATATTTACTACTGTATTATAATTTTAATATCGTTAAAAACAAAAGAGAACTGGGAAGAAAGCGGATAATATTGCAATCGATATTCCCTTTTTTTTAAAAGATGTGACATGATTAAGTAGTCCATGGAACACAGGTATCGATCAAAATAGCCTTACAAAAGGTACACAGTTTAAGCACACTCGTGCTGTGGCTCAATGATGACAACATGGCATGTTTGGTAAACTAGGGAACATATCATCATGAATCATCATTTATCATGAAAACAGATGTCGCATGGTGGAAAAGGGGAAGTATTGAACAAGTTGCAAATCTATTTCTTACAATGTGTATATATTTGACCCCCTCTGGTGGCTGAAAACATAACTACAATAGTACAGAAGTAGAATTTTGTCTTTAAGCCACCCTGGCATTATTAACACAACCTGAACACATATCAGGCTACATAAAGATTCAGGCCTGTAGGCTGGGGACGCTGGGGTTATTTAGAAACATGGAGGGGTCACATTCTTCAGTCAAAATGTATTATGGTGGGTACAAAAACTAGCGGCTTGGTATTGATATTGATATAAAATATCTTCCTTTGGGGAATATAAATATGCTTGACCCAACTCTTTTTTAATTTAGCAAAATATATCTGCTCAATGCATCTGTCATCATAAATAAAATATTTCCTAAAGTTATCAAAATGTAAATGACCTAAAATGCGTAAACAAGGAATCTGACATGGCATGGCTGTGGCATCCAATCAGAAGATCGGCAATTCGATCCCTGGCTCCTCCAGTCCATGTCGATGTGTCCTTGGGCCAGACACTTAACCCCAAATTACTCCCGAAAGCTGTGCCATCGGCATATGAGTGGGAATGAATGGGTTAGTTAGTCCTGACGGGCAGGTGGCACCTTGCATGGTAGCCCCTGTCATCAGTGTATGAATGGGTGTGAATGGGTGAATGATGACATGTCGTGTTAAAGCGTTTTGAATGGTCGGAAGATGAGAATATACAAGTACAAGTCCATTTACCATTCTAAAGCATCACTACTCAGTGCTGCAGGCACATGTGGCGGTCGTTGGGTGATGATGGAAGAAGACACTTAAATGAATCAGTTATTTCAGCTGTTAAAAAGTAGCTTCAGGTAGCACTACACATCCACAGCTGCACCTGCATTTTCCTCCTCTGGTGGTGTTTGAAATAGTGGGAACTGCTTGTCCGAGTTAAAATTAGTTGAGAGTGGTCCCTCACTCGATCTCTCCTCTGTATGGGGCTCTCTTGGCCCCCTGGAGCCCCAAGCTTGAGCCCCTGTTGGGCGGCTACATCGTGAGGTACGGGCACTGACACCAGTCAATCAAAACTCAAGTAACAAAAGTGTTCAAGTTAGTATTGGTACAATTACAATGTGACTTATCTTTAACAATGCAAGCCAGACAAAAACAATGCAAGTGTTGATGTGCTGATCATAGAGTAAAGAGAAGTTAGTAGAGATAATATGTGCATATGTGGAGAGAAGACACTGGTCTATAGATAAAAACGAGAGTAGATAAGCTGATGAACTGGGGCTGTTAAAGGCACTATGTGGAACATTGAACTGTTATGAAACAGTCAATTTAATACAAATGTCCTTATATGACCAACATAAGTCAACGAGGGCATCAGCAAGAAGATTGGTTATTTCTAGCTAAGTATTCTTAATGCTTGTCATCGGTGCCACTGGGTCAGACTCTGTGCAGTCAGATAATACCATGAAGGTTCACCAGCAACTCTTTCAGCTCAGACTCCAGCAGGGCCCCCTGCAGCAACTAGCCCACCCCGGATAGACCCAGATCTGGCTACGCTGCTGCTTTCAAACTGTGGTCGGAAGCTCTGGCTGGAGGAGGAGAGCTCTGCGCCCGGCAGCAGCTACTCCACCTCCGATCAGGAGCAGAGCTTCATGTCGCTGCTCCACCGGTTCCCGCTGAAAGATCTGGAGGCTTTTCCGGGGCTGTGGAGGCAGTCATGGGCAGGGGAGGAGATCCAGTAATACCAAGACTGAAATTCTGCCATTGTCTGTGTTTAAGTGGATGTCGTTGAAAACCTTAAGAGCAGTTTCAGTACTGTGTTGCTGTCGAAAGCCTGACTGGAAAACATCAAAGCAGTTATTTACGGCCAAGAAGTTGTTCAACTGTTGAAAAACCACTTTTTCAATTATTTTACTTAAAAATGGGAGGTTTGATATTGGCCTATAATTTTTCATTGTTGTGAAGTCTAAATTAGCCTTCTTTAGGAGCGGTTTAATAACTGCAGTTTTTAGGGCTTGTGGGAAGACACCTGAGAGAAGGGATGTGTTTACAATTGCTAAAAGATCAGTGGTCATGCAGTTTGAAATAATTTTGAAACATGAATATGAACAGGCTGCCAATGGAGCTGCTGACAGCAGACATCTCTTGCTTTTGTTTCCAGGGCCACACTTAGATCTTTACAGATATGCATAAATACATATTAGGAGAACAACCTGTATATCCCGATTTCCTACAGAGTCCCTTATAAGTGTATACATTTCACTTTGGTACTGAAAAAAGACTCAAACATTTTTCAACAATTTGTTTACTTGCTCATTCTGGCTGGTTTAACCAGAGAACATTCTTTCTAATGACAGTGTGATGCAGTGTGACTCACACAGCCTCCCAGATAGGCTTCTTCATCACATACAAATGGTACATTGAGAAATATAGAAGGATATCTGCTAAAATAAGAGTGAATCAGCTTTAGTCTGGTGTCAGTTCTTCTTGGATTTGGCTGACTTGTGTGCAGACTTGGAGGTGGAGTTGTATGTGGAGGACAGCAGCATGGTGATGAGCAGCAGCATGGGTACCAGCAGATATGGTAAGTATATGGAGACCAGCAGCCAGCGCTCCTGCAGGGTCTGGGGACCAGGGTGGGGTTTCATAGGGAACTGGTACAACAGGATGTGAGCTAGGATCGGGACCAGCGTGGTGGCCACATGTGTGGAATACACGATGGCAGGAGTCCTGATCCACTTACAGCCACCTGAAACACAATAAACACTTTGAGTGATCAAAAGAAGCTCCAGGCTGCAGAACACACACTGTGGTAAAAAGTAAATCCAGTAACAACTCTTGACAGACAAGTCTTTGGATTATCCAGACTATGGACACATGGACTATGTGTTTTGAAATGATGTTGATTTGTACTTAAAAATGTGTAAAATAAATTCCATTCAACATTTATTTGGGTTTGTGGCAGAAAAATCTGCATGACTAAACAAAAAAAACAAAAAAAAATAAAGATTCACTGTATATACCCTAACTGAATTGGTATTTCGTTCCCCACAAACGTGTTCTGGGTTTCTTGTATTAAAAGGTGTTAAATTGAGAGCATATCTACGATTGAGCGATTGCCTCCACATGGCTCTCAACATGGCTGAGTCGGCAGCTGGGAGCTAACGGTGCAAATAACGGCAACAGTGCTGACGAAGCTAACAGTGTTTACCTCGGGGGGAACCGGAAGGTGGCTGTTACGGTTCCGGGGCGACGGCGTGAGTCGGGACGGCGTTATCAGCAGTAACCACTGTATGAGCGCTGACTCCATAACTCCACGATATCTTTACATTGCAAATGCTGCAATATTAATGCTTTGACTTTTGAGTGAAGCACCTTTAATACTGCAAACATTTGAGTGGGATCATTTCCATGTGTCCCCTCTTGATATGAACTAACATTGGTAGTGACTGGTAAGGGCTAATTCTTGCAACTCAAATAGCAAAGGACCGAAAGGAGATGCGCGTGTCAAAAGCATTTTCAATGGTAAAAATCTGTTTAGCCTCTGTGGAGATATAAATGACAAATGAGCACATATTTGAGTGATTTCAACATATTGACTCAGGGAAACATGCATTTCACATTTGCCCTAAAGGAAAACCATTGGTGAGAACATCAAACCGTTTGAAAGGTCTCATTAATGTGTCATATTAGCAGGATTTAGAGCTGGGGAACAATCGTGAAACAATATTTCATAAGGCCATTCACTCATGCTGATGCGCGTTTCTGTGTCAATAAGCAATGAATAAACAGAGGCGTTCAGGCACAATATAAAAAAACAAACTCGACAGCGTCTCCTCCACCACGTTCTGTACGGACTGACCTTTCAGGAAAGCATACGCTGCTACGGGGAAAAAAGGCGTTTGAAGCAAAGCCTCGCAGAAAATGAAAGACCTGAACCAGACTGGCGGATCCAGAACCATGGGGTCTTTGAACTCCTCTGCGTACCACTTCAGAAGATCTCTCAGCTGGTGGAGAGAAAGACTCAATGTGTGATTTGTCTCGTAGAAACAAAACAGTTGATTGTGACGTTGGAACTTTTTTTGTCGGCTAATTTACAATTTATTGTAATTTGGTGTGTTTTCTGCTGGGTCTGACACTTACCGGCTGAGGATACACATGTCCAGGCAGCAAGGCTTGTAGGTCAATAAACAGTGTGATAGGAATGTGAGAGGCGAAATAGAAGAAGAAGAGTATTTCTAACACACGGACAGACATTATCTCTCGCTTATTCGCTGCAAATCACAGATAACAAACTGGGACTAAGTTCGTAGCAGACGCGTGTCACAGACGGTAGAAACGCGTGTTCACCACGACGAATCCCATTGGCTGGCAAAGAGAGAAGGGGGCGTTCCTGAACCCAATGCCGCTTCAGGTGCTCTTCGTAAATGTCGCTTTTGCTCATACAAATACTTATGGAAACTCAAATGCAAGCATTTTACAACCGATTTTTTAAATTTCTTTTAGTTGATTATTTTTTCTTCTCATCATTATCTATTTATGTAATTATTCAATTCACTTCAGACTTTATTAAGGACACACCTCATCTATCTATCTAAATAGATATACAGTATATATTGATTATATATACTGTATATCTATCTAAATAGATATACAGTATATATTGATTATATATAGTTGGTATGCATATTGGTTGAAATGTAATTTTGGTTCTGCTGATAATACATTGATAAAATAATGTGTTCTATATGTTCTTGGTTTTGGAGGAAAATTAATAAACAATGAACAATCAAGACTGAATCAATAATTAAAACAAAAACCTTGAATTTATATATAAAAGTAGGGAATTACAAATGTACTATTAATAATAAATAGGAAAATAAGAACACACAAGGTTTATTTCAGAAAGTAAACAAGCTTCTATGACAGCCAAGCAAAAAAAACGACACAGAAATTGAGTTATCAAAAGGATGGATGAAAAAAGATTTCCAAAGTTAACGAAGAAACATAAAACATGAAAAAAAATGACTTAAGAAGAACATATTGGTACGTCATTTTTACCAGGCTCTCTGCTGATCAAAGGTTGTCCCCGATCAGATAAATGTAGCTTATAAATTATAGAAGAAGAATGACTTTCCCTGGGGGGGTTCCAGTTTTTCACTGCTTGTTATTTCACACACACACACACACACACACACACACACACACACACACACACAC